ATAGGAACCGGACTGACGCTCCCCAGAATAGAAGGAGCCAGGACCATAAGGCCCTGTTCTCGGAAAAAAAAAAAAAAAAAAAAAAAAAAGAACTAAAGACCAACCTCATTGCTCACCCTCCCCATACAAGATCCTCACCGAGGTCCTGGCCTTCCGAATTCTAGACTTGACCGATAAGTGTTTTAATACAGACCAAGCTGGTTTCATTTCGGGGGATACATTCTTGATAATGTTATGACCCCGAATAAGGCTTAAAATCAAGACAACCATTATTTTTTCCGATTTTGAGAAAGCCTATGATCAAGTCAACTAGGCCTTTCTGAATGCAAGTATGGAAAGAATGGGAGTGGGACCCAACTTCAGGAAATGGGTTAGAAATTAGAATACTATACAATGAGGACTGTTAAATAGGGCGATACCTTAGCCCCGCCGATTTTCCTTTTCGTAATGCACGCCGTAGCGTCCTTCCTTTGCAAGGATCCATCGATCCCAAGACTGTCAGAGATCAACGCTGCAGCTCCCCAAACACTTGGTCTTTCCAACAGTAATAATGTTTGCAGATGATCTTACTGTCCTAGTTCGTGCCTTCGACTCCTCTGTAAGTGCGCTAGTCAGGGGAATGGAAGCTTTCAAGCTGGCGTCGAAAATCAAGATAAACTGGAAGAAAACAATGGGCTGGTGGCTGTCCGAGGAGGCAGTCCCCCAGGTGCAAGGCCCGGAAAGTCAAATGACCGGGGAAAGACTAGAGACACAAACGGCACACAACCTGCTGTGGAACCAAATCAACAAAATGGGTAGAGGGGGCATTACCTTCACTTCGCTTTTGGGCCGGGCTCTGATTATCAACACTTTCATATACTCTATGATGCGGTATATCGCTTCGATCTGGTCCATACCGGACCACACCATCATGATGTTAAATCGCAAAGCTAGAGCGTGCCTATGCTCTAGGGACCCCAACACACACACACACACACACACACACACACACAGAGAGAGAGAGAGAGAGAGAGAGAGA